GTACATGAGCACTTGCGAGGCGATCGCATGCCCCGAAGGTTCGGAGGGACGCTCCCTACCCTCAGGATGTATCTGCTCACCAGGGGAGAGTGGTACCGTCGAGGCGACGACAGAGGAGCCTTATTACAGGAGTACCTGCAAGGCCGTAGCTTGCCCAGCAAACTCCGAAGGCCGCAGTGTGGTCGACGGCTGCACTTGTGCAAAAGGCTTTGCTGGCTCCGTTGTGGCTTCTTCCAAGGAGCCTTTCTTTCAAAGCAACTGCGTTGCTGTGGGCTGCCCTGCTAACTCCGAGGGCACAGATGTTGCCAGTGGCTGCACATGCAAGCCTGGCTACACGGGGGAGATCGTGGCGATATCGGAGGCTCCGTACTACAAGGGTGCCTGCGTGGCGGCAGCCTGTCCTGCGAACTCTATTGGATCCAACGTCCCGAGCGGATGCACTTGCGTTGCAGGCTTCAGCGGCTCCATCGCGGCAACGTCCAAGTCGCCGTTCTATGAGGGCAACTGCACCGCAGAACCTTGCCCGGTCAAGTCAAGCGGAAAGAACGTGGCCAGCGGTTGCAAGTGCAACCCTGGTCATAGCGGTGCCATCACTGCATCCATGAAAGCACCCTACTTTGAGGGGTCCTGTTGGCCAGTGGCCTGCCCAGCCAACTCCGATGGCACTGATGTGCCAGCAAACTGCACCTGCAGGCCAGGGTTTTCAGGCAAGATTGAGCCTGCGCCACTCGAGCCGTTCTATAGTGGCGAGTGTCACAAGGTGACCTGTCCACCACACTCCACAGGCAATAGTGTCAGTGAAGGGTGTGCATGCGACGCAGGCTACAACGGCAGCATCCTGGCAATCTCCAATGCTCCGTTCTTTTCGGGCAGTTGTTTGCCCGTTTCATGTCCTTCAGGTTCAACAGGAGCTGATGTACCAAGCGGCTGCACATGCAAAGCCGGCTACAGCGGCAGCATTGAGGCTTCCAGAGACTCGCCATTCTTCGATGGCAGATGCGTTGCCGTGGAGTGTCCCGACAATTCTGAAGGACGGTCGGTCTCCGAAGGCTGCACCTGCAAGGCTGGTTTCAGTGGAAAGATTTCCAAGTCCTCCGAGGCGCCCTACTTCGAGGGAAGCTGCGTGCCTGTGAATTGTCCGGCCAACTCCGCCGGAGTGGATGTCACGTCTGGCTGCACTTGCAACGAGGGCTACAGCGGTGCTGTTCAAGCAACCAGCACTGCACCTTTCTACAAGAGCACCTGTGAACCGGTAGCATGTCCGGCTAACTCTGTCGGCAAGAATGTGCCTGATGGCTGTTCTTGCAAGCCCGGGTTCACTGGCAGCGTTCTGGCGAGTGCAGAGGCACCATTCTATCTCAGCAGCTGTGAGCCGGTTGCTTGCCCCAAAGATTCCTCTGGCCAGAACGTGCCGGAGGGTTGCGCCTGCAATGCTGGCTTTTCAGGCAAGATCGTGGCCAAGGCAGATTCTCCGTATTTCGAGGGCGCTTGCCAGCCGGTGACTTGTCCGGCGCACTCCAACGGTGTGGATGTTCCGACCGGCTGCACATGCGATGATGGCTACAGAGGTAAAATTGTGGCTTCCAGTAAAGCCCCTTTCTTTTTCACTGGCTCTTGTGCTGCGGTGCCCTGCCCAGCAAATTCCAAGGGCAAAAGCGTTCCGGAAGGATGCACATGTGAGGAGGGATTTAGTGGCTCAGTGACTCCTTTGTCATCCGCGCCCTTCTACCTCAACGACTGTGCTCCAGTTTCATGCCCAGCAAATTCCTTCGGGAAGAACGTGCCTGCAGGCTGCCAGTGCAGTGCTGGCTACACGGGCAGTGTGACAGCCACCAGCGACGCGCCGTTCTACTTGAACATGTGCAAGGAGGTGCCCTGCCCGGCGGACTCGATGGGTCAGGGGATCGCCAGCGGCTGCAAATGCCATCCTGGCTTCAGTGGCAACATCCAGGCAGGAGCAATCACGGTTATATAACTGTAATAGACTTCTCCTCGCCAGTCTACACCGCAGTGCAGAGTGTACGAGTGTCTTCGCAGGCCAGCACACAAGAGCCGTTCTACACGGGGAGCTGTGTGGCAGAGGCCTGCCCCGAGAACTCGGATGGCCTGGACTTGAGCAGCGGCTGCAAGTGCAACCCGGGCTACAGTGGAACGATTACAGCCACCCAGGCCTCGGAAACTGTTCAAAAGGAGTTTAAGCACCGTAGTAGGCCCACTTGGATGTCATGTTTAGTCAGGTGGCCCCGTACTTCTGTGGCAGCTGCGAGCCTGTTGCCTGCCCGGACCTGTCCACTGGGCCGGACGTGCCGACAGGCTGTCAGTGTAAGGATGGTTCAGGCACGGTAACGCCTTCCAGCAAAGCGCCTTTCTATGCCTGGACCTGAGACATATCATGTCCTCGCATCATGTGCATGAACGCGAGTCTATGAAAGTCTGCGGAGCCAAGTCTGATTATTTTGAGCATCTGCCTCAGGTTAGCACGTGTGGTGCCACGGCGTGAGTCGTCTGCAACACACACAGTGAGATCTTCTCTGTGCCTTTACTGAAGTCCCCGAGTAGTGAGCTCGGACGAATGTCTTATTGCCGCTGCAGAGATGTGTACCCTCGTGACCACGAATCAAGAGGTACTTGTACATCGGCCTATATACTTGTATGTTGTGTGAGTCGGCGATCGGTGGCTACTCAGCAACTCTTTCAATAAGTTTCCATGTGCCGAGAAACTGCAAGATGTGGTAAAACAGCGTGGCGATTGCCGGCCTGGCTCCCAGTCCACGTGAGTCAACTTTCACTCGCTGCAGAGATGCTGCGGAAAAAGAGGTCGGAGCTGGAAGTGTGGACTAAGGGCGGGACAGGGGTGCAGGGATGGCGGGCAGTGTTTGTGGTGGTGATAGTCGCGGTGGTGCCGGTAGTACGAACAGCTGTAGTATCAGCAGGTAGTAAAAATGAGTCGTAGCGGTGGTAGTAGTAGTCGTCCGAGTTGTAGTAGTCGTAGTAGCAGTTCTTAGGAGTAGTAGGAGTAGTAGTAGTAGTAGTAGTAATAGTAGTAGTAGTAGTAGTAGTAGTGGTAGTAGTGGTAGTAGCAGTAGTAGCAGTAGTAGCAGTACTAGCAGTAGTGGTAGCAGTAGTAGTAGCAGTAGTAGTAGTAGTGGTGGTGGTGTTGGTAATGTAGTAGTAGTGGTAGTGGTCTTAGTACTAGTAGTAGTGGTAGTAGAAGTAGTAGTAGTAGTAGCAGCAGCAGTAGTGGTAGTAGTGGTAGTAGTAGTGGTAGTAGTAGTGGTAGTAGCAGTAGTAGCAGTAGTAGCAGTAGTAGCAGTGGTAGCAGTAGCAGTAGCAGTAGTAGTAGTAGTAGTAGTAGTAGTAGTAGTAGTAGTAGTAGTAGTAGTAGTAGTAGGAGTAGTAGTGGTAGTAGTGGTAGTAGTGGTAGTAGTGGTAGTAGTGGTAGTAGTGGTAGTAGTGGTGGTAGTAGTAGTAGTAGGAGCCGTCGTACTGGTGATGCCACATGGTCTACCATTTGAAACTGTGACGGCGAGGCATGCCCGCAAATAGGGCAGTTGTGCTTTCAGTAAAATGCTGTTTCGCTGGGTCTTGAATTCGTGGGATCTCCTTGGATAAGAAAGCTTGAGCAGAACCGATGTGCTATGCTGAAGGCTCCAGAATTGTGGATCGGATTTGGAGAAGTCTGCAGTTGAGGGCTTGGTGGAACATGAGTTTGGACATGCACTCTGGCATGCCTCGTGAGCTGTAAACTCTTAACTCGGAAGCTGCTTGAAAATGCTTTTTTGCTGAAAACTTCGTGTGGCGTTTGTCGCAGCACAGCGGCAAGCTGCATTCATTATCCGGCAAGGAGCAGAATGTTTTTCAATTCAGTGCGAAAGCCTTCTCCGGCTGGTTGCTAAAGGTCACTCACCCGTGCTGCACGCAGATCGTACGTAGATAGCGATTCCATGGGCAATGACGAGAACATGACACATCTAGAGTGGAGGTGAACTGTCGCAACAACTACGAGATCAGGGACTGCCCCGTCCTGTCTTGTGAGGATGTATTTGCTGACTCGCCCGCTGGCAAAGGTCCGGACGGCTTTCATATGCCCGTCGTGCCAAAAGAGTGCCCTCGCGTGTTGAAATGCGAAGAGCCTGCATAGGGATGAGGATTGAAATGGGCGCATGGCAGACGAATCGTGCTAGCGCCTTCGGTGCGTGACCACTTCTGGATGAGTTTGTGCTTTGGCGATAGGCCTTCTTTGCAGGTTCCTCGACTGCGTGACCGCAGCCATGCTGACTGTGATTCCCACATGACGACAACAACAATGTCCTCGGAAGTCTCTGACACAATGCCTCCATCATCACAAGAGGAAGCAGAGCAGACCTACGTCCGCAACGAGGCAGATTATGTAGACTGCAGGTGCCAGCTGCATAGCCTGCCCGAGCATTGAAACATCGCAAGAGCATCGCCGGCTAGCGGCCAGCACTGGCAGGAACGTGCCGCAACAGATGTCAACGATATTCTGACACACCTCTTCACACTTCGTGACTTCGTCGTCAAGATGTCGGAATTGGACACCCTGTAAGCTACAACAGTTACCTAGGCAGATGCCATGCGACATGCCCCGCAATCGACAGCCGACTTCTGGTAGAACAGAATTGGGATGAGTTTGCCGATCCGTCCCTGATGGAGCTGTCTTGCTTGCTGGCTCCGTGTCACGCTTAGTCACCGGCATTTGTGTAGTTGCCCATGGGAGCATTGATCACGGATGAGTTGCCACGCCAGTATTACTTTGACTTTGCTCGCACCTTGTTTCAACGCGTCGTGATCACAAGGATGTTATCGACATGCACAGGACTGGTGCTGCCACCCGGTCTTTGCAAGCACCATCCTAGTATACATTGACCTGCTCTGCGACCAACAAACCGGCGACTTAGTCATGTGCTGGCTGTGCATGGTAATGGCGCATGTAGCACTTCTCACTACTCCCATCAACACAACCATCAGCTCCCAAGGCCATGGGGATGCACGACGATGGAATTTTGGGTGCTGAGCTCAGAAGTTCTTGGCATGACCGGGACATTTACAGATTGCTGGATTCATCGTGAGTCAGAGCCGGTGGTCCACAGACGTCGTGTTTGTGCTACGATCGTATACACCGATGCATTAACGGCAGAAGAATGCCGGTTGTACAGCTGTCAGCTTGGATACCCAAGCTCAATAGAAGCCGTCGATCTACTTTGCAGAGGCTGAGTGAAGCGTGAGCTTGCTGTTGCGTCAACGCTAACGTCATGAAAGGTGGCCGGAAATATGTCCCGCCGAAGATGTCAGACATCATACGCGGGAATCTCGATCTTCACATGTGTTCACCGTTGGCAATGTCATGTTGCATTATAGTGTTGACTCCTTTTCACGGAGCCGTGGCCAGATGCAATAGAAACAGCCAGTGCGAGAAAGGTCAATAGGAACGTCCATGTAGCTGAAACCTTTCTGCTACCTGCATCCCGGCAGCGTGTAAATAGTATCCGGTAGTCCAGTGCTGGTTGCGTGAAAAGGAATGCCTCGAACGTGTATCACTTGCCACTGCCAGGGGGCGACTGGCAAGAAGCCAGAGGTGACAGGCTCGGAGCCCTCCCTGCCTCCTTCCTGTATCCTCCTGTCTGATGCGTGGCAGAGCAAGCTTGAAGCTTGGCTTTGAGCCCCAATAGAAGCAATGGCAGGCTGTATGCAAAACAGGATTCCCAAGATGTACCTGCCGAACTCGGATGAGCAACCCCCGCGACGCAGGACTATCCGCATCCAGGAGGTGGATGACTGTCCCGTCCTCATGAACGAAGGTCTTCTTTGGCCATGATCGAGCGTAGATTGGACATGCAGCGGTCTTCTTTCTCGGCGACAGGTCTTGAATTGGAGGAGCAGCCGGCCAGTGGAGCTGCGATGGCTCGGTCTGGGGGACGGCATGCAGGGCTTTATGTGAAGGTTGAGTGGAGCAGAGCAGACTGCAAAAGCTTTTCCTGCAGGTCTATGCTAGGGATCTGGCGTGGAGTTTCCTCAGCAAGTGGTCCTTTCTCGGTCTGATTGTTTGCGCGATTGCGAGTGTCACGTCTAGCCTGTGTGATCTGCATCGTACTGCATGAGCACAGCGGTAAGTTTGGAACAGTCGGAGTGTTGCAGTCTGACGCAGTGGGTGGGCTTTTGAAAACGTCGGATATGTGGGAGGTGCTTTCGCGGAACCACTCGACTGCAGCGGTGCTGATTTCATGGACGGCTTACGCTTGAGTCCTAGCTGGTGGATCCAAGTTCGGTTCTGCAGCGAACGCGCCAGCCCTTTGGATATCGCTGGCTCTGACAGGCAACTG